TGACTTGGTACATTCATTTTCTGATGTCAAAAATGGTGGACTACACATGGTTTTATAGCTAGGTAAACCTCTCACTTGTATGACAGTCGCATAACAATCTATTTTATTGACAAAGATGTGTGAACAAAACAAACAGAACATAAATATTTAGTACCATACCTTAACGAAATATTTCATTAAACATTTGCTAAATGATTTGTTTGATTGCTTGATTGATTGTAGGTGTTTAATGCTACTCTCAGCACACTTGGCGCTATATCATGGCGCTCAGTTTTAATTTGGGAAGGGGACTCCAGAGAACCAACGATCTTTGACAGGAACACTGGCTGGCAATATAGTCTAGTCAATTACGATCAGATTTGAATGTTCTGGGTTGGAAATCTTTACAAGAAGCAGGTGATACTGTAAATGAACAAATAAGGTCTCTCGTCCTCCTAGGCTCCTCTTAACTGATTTGATGATATTAATCTATTTGTAAATGAAATTTTGCAAAATTTTGATCGGGGCAGTTCTAACTTTATCTATAGAAATTTTGTGTTTTTAATTGTAAGAAGGTCAGAAGAATAGGATACTCCCTTACTAAACACATGATTTACATTCAATCTTCACAATTAAAAATAAAACCAAAGCCTACAATTTCATAGGTCGAGATCATTTTGCTTTCTAAAAATAAGTAACCAATAATATTACATTCAAAATTATAAGTCTTAATAGTTTTGTATGTTTGATGTTTTAGTAAACAGTAATTAAACCGCAAACCTAATTGCAAGCTTTGTTCCACCAAAACGTGTCTTTTCGAAAGCCATATCTGCTAATAAACATTTTACATCTCGCGTTTAAAACCATTACGTGGATTGTTTCTTCAGTGAATAAAAAAAATTAACAGCTCATATGTCAAGTGACAAACATATGACAAACATATTTGATAAAATATAGGTAGATTATACCTGTTTAATTAAGCAAATATGTTGATACTTCATGTACTTGTCGTTTACACCTATGTTTTCTCTAGATAAAAATTTCATGTCATTGAATACGATTTGTAAATTCTTTCTTTTTTTTCTGAATAAACTGCATGTAAGTAAGGCAATCGAATTTAGGTGTGATATATTGATTAAAAGCAAGAAAGAAGATATATATATTATTTTTTTTATATCATGGAAAAAATATTCTTACAAACTACCAATTTTTGTGGATTTCGTGGGTACAGGTGATCCACGAAATTAAATGTCCAACGAATAACAAATTTTCTATAGGCTTGTAGGCACACTTCGGCAAAATCACGAAATTAAATATCCACGTACAAGTAAGTTTTCCTTATTCTACGAAAATTGGTACTTACGAAAATAAGTGAATGCACAGTATTTATTTTTAAACTTATCATAAAACACAAACACGGAGTTTTCAAAAGTAGATGAAAAAAGTCTGAGCAAGATTCCATATAACAAAGGATGTTTTAAATACGACGATTTTACCACAAATTGTACTTTTTATTGTATTTTACATATTTTATACGGGATATAAAATCATACAGCTGACTAAGCTGGTCCCGTGACATTTAACATTTGTTAAAATGTACACTCATATGGACATATCGACGGGTGCCAGTTGTAGAGGGTCTGTATCGTATCGGTTTAACAAAATAGAAGAGACAAACAAATTAATCACCACTTTTTGTTTTCTGTCGTAAGTAATAATGTATGTGGAGATGTTGTTCCTAATTTACTCAACATCTCCGATATCCCTGGTCTTTTGGTGCGGTCCGTTTTGCTTTAGTCTTTAGTTTTCTGTTTTGTGTTTTTTTTGTGTAAGAATGTTTGTCTTTTGGTTGTTTACTTTTTTTGTTATATAGTTGTCAGTTAATTTACGACTTATGGATTTAAATGTCCCTTTCGTATCTTTCGCCGCTCTTTGAGTTTTGCTATTGGTGTAAGTTATAAAGCCTTGTTAATACTTATCCCTCATCATGAAAACTAGAGAATTATGTATCATTACTAAATCAGTTTTGTTTATCTCAAAAACTGTCTTGAACTCTCACACGAACTCATTTAAAATACACACATAAACTTAATAAACTGAGACACGAGATTCATTAATTCTGAGTAAACTTCAAAAATTTCAAACCATGATTAGCTGTGATCGAAATCTAACATCTGTTGGAGAATATTACATGCACATTCAATGAAAACTTAGCCAAAATGAATAATCAATGCAAAGTACCATACTAAAAAAGTTAAATCTAACATATAAGCTTGTTACTCATAATCAACAGTTCATTGGCGGTTCATAAGTAAAAATTGTCAGGCCTCTACATACCTTGCAATTTGCTGTATATCTATATAGATAAATACAGATGTAAGAATATATATAGTCTCCAAGTATGCGGCATATATAAATAGCAAGCGACAATCTTCAACATTATTACTGTTTATTTTATTTCAGTTCATATTCATTTCCCTCTTCACGGTCCGCGTCCAATTAATATCAATTTATTTGACAACATCATTAGAAAGGTAGAAGTTTTCATTTTTTATTATTCTTACGTCGATTTCGAAAAGCAAGTAAAAAAAACATGCTACCAAAAATATGTGTAGGACATAATTCAACGTTAGGTCACCAATCGCCGTCGGCACCGTTCCTCAAATCGACGTCCAATCTTATGTCATAATAGATTAATGAGCTAAGTAACTTATCGAAGTCTTCTTCTCTTCATAAACTGACGTTCAGTTCTTGACTAAAACCTCGCGAATAAATTTGTAACAGCTCAAATAATAGTTAATAAATTCAATTTATCAAAATATTAAATTCATCATCTCTTCATCGAGGTAAGCAAATGATATACCTATATAATTGCTAACCTCCACTTCATTTAAACTTGACTGAATAGCTGTCTCATTGGGAGTCTTATGTTTATATACTGGAAGTTCGTCTGATACTTTGCTACGATAATAGCACGATGAATTTAATTATTTTAGTAACTAAACTATTTCCTTGTCCAAAATTAGGAACATCTTAATTAGTTGTCGTTTGTTATATCTGAGGGGGGGTTCAACGAACACAAGTACAAATAATCACTGTTAAAGTCGTCGACGCTCTGTTTGATTGCAACTATTAAAGTTGAGATTTTGTTTGTCGCGAGTCGATGTAACCCCCCCCCCCCCCCCCCCACCCCTTGAAAATCCTGGTTACGGGCTTGCTTCTTTATTCATACCTCGACATTTTGTAAAAACAGTTGTCTATTGTTTATCTTTAATTTGCCCTCTATAGATATCTTTCGGTAATCATTGTCACTGGGTTGCTGTCTCATTGACGTTAACCAATGTCTCCTTTTATCCATATGAATATGAACAGAACTAACAACGTACATAGAGTAAATCAATTTCATTCACACAAAAATTAATTTCCATATTAATTGTAGCCTTTGTTTTAGTTTAGTTGATACTTTATGACAGGATATTGTTTCATGTGTGGCTCAATTTCATAAGTAATCATTATGATTTGAAGTGTATAAAAATACATGTATGTAAACTCCAATCAGTCGATTTACTCAGCATTATAAGGACTAAATGATTACTACAGAGAAAACAAATAAAGATCAAACTAGAAATACATGCTTTAATCATATTGGACATCGATTAGAGGAGACTTTGATCTGTCGAACGTCGTTTTGGTAATAAATGCCGACCTTTTGGACGTTGATTAGAGGGTAACAAATATTTGACCTTGATTTGAGAATGGTACGTTAGATTGGCAAGTAAATGTAATATGAATATTTACCCTGCTTTGTACTTGACAGACACGCTGAGATTTTTAACGTGCCAGTTCACAAGGTAACAGTCCACAGGAAGGCATGCAACCTTACCCGGACAAATTATTCTGACTTCGAGCCGACCAGTCTTTGTTCTTAATTCTTATTGCCACGTGCTTAGCGGAGAAGCTGCACATACCAATTTTAAAGTTTTTGATTTGACCCGGCCGGGGTTCGAACCCCAGACCTCCCGCACTCGAGGCAAACACGCTACCACGACACTACCGAGGCGGTCCCTAGTGCCCATTAGAGCATGTAGAGACCGATCGGAGTCCAGCATATATACATGTATAATGTTACGATCATCTATTTCATGTCAAATTAGTATCATTATATGTTGAGAAATGATCAAACTAATTGCAAGATATACAAATATTCTATGCCACTTCCGTAGTTTTTGTAAGTAGCGATTGATTTGAAGAGTTGTTTCCCTTAGGAGGGACAGACATTTAAAGTGACAATGAATAGCTTGCGGAAGGATGTGCTTTATTTTAGTAATGTTTTAAACAATTTCAAAGTTTCAAATCTGATTATAATTTTTGTCAGACTTAAAGCTTTGATATCAATAATTATTTTTCATCAACAAAATTGGTAAAAACGTTTTCCTATCACTTTCAACTGATCATGCTTTGAATGACACTGTTGTTGTTTTTCCTAAAATAGTCTACAATCGGCAAAGGGACACAACTGGTTGTAAAAGTTTGTAAAACAGAATCAAATCAGTAATTCACAAACAGGGTATTGACTAAGCTTCACCAGATTGTTCAGTGGAAGTCTGTTCCTGTCCTTAGTTCTTGTCCACCCACTCTGCAGAACTTACCATTAATATTGTTTAATTCTTATTGTCATAAATACAAAATAGCTAAATATTCGCCAATGAATGTCGAGCAAAACAGTCTATCAAGTTTATATCGTTAATAGAGTTTGTAAATTATTGCAACGTCTCTTAATAACTTGGAAACAGATAACTGATAAAAATGGCCAAATGATTGAGTTTGTAAACTATCATAAACGTCTCTTAATAACTTGGAAACTCATAACTGATAAAATTGCTCAAATAATTGATTTAAAACATTTCATCTTCCAATATCGACAAGGGTCACTGTTGTTAGAATAAGGATAAGTTACAATCAACAGATTGTGATCTATTTTATAAAAGAATGACTGATGTCTTGCATCGAAAAAAAATGAATTCATCAGTGAACATTTTAAATATTCTATTTTATGTATAAATAGATGACTATGATATTTTATACAGACTTATCATCATAATTATCTTGATAATATTGAACATGAGCTTCATTTCTATCAATAATAAAGAAAGTTTTGTAAGCGAAGATAAATCGTTTTTTTCTGTCATTTCGCATTCACAACGCCCTTATTCATCAAGAGACCATTTTCATAAAGATACAGCGTAGGCCATCGCATGCTATCGACGTATTTTCCGTTGGCACCTTCAACCTCTAACTCATCCAAATCTATTTGTTCACTCTTGTTCCAGTTGAATTTCAAAAACATCGGCGGCTCTGTCACGGACATTAGCCAACAACACTCCATACTTTTCTCGATAAATGAAGTGCACACCGACAGTTGAGCATCGGAAATGTCGATCTTATTTGGCAATGTTTCTACGATTGATTTGATTAATCTTGGCAGATATTGCAAAGCATTCTTTCTTCTATACTCTTTTAATGGTTTGACAACATCCGACGGCTTTGAAGTTTTAATATCATCTATCACAACAGTGGGATGAAATGCCTGTGTGATTGTGTTAATTTGAGCATAGGCTTGCGTTCTGCATTCATCATAAACCCCATGAAAGATCTGTAACAAAAATCTTGCGGATGTAGCTTCATCACATCCTTTTTTACAAAAATTGCCAAGCTTTCAGCATACTCAATTTCATGGAGCTTACTTAGCTTTGTGGCAATTTTGGCAGGTCGTATTTGATCTGGTAGGCATGATAAATTTGAAATGTTTTCTTTAACATTAGCGATATCTATATTTGGTTTGACAGGATTTTCACTGATTGATTTTTCCAAACCTGATAATTCATGCTCAATACGCGACGTCCCAACAATTGACATTTTGGGAACATATAGAAATCGACTCTCATATTTTCTAGATCGTATTTCCTGTCCAGCTATGGTTGCTCCTATTGTGGCTGCCATGTAAGAATTTGACGGAACTATGAGTTCATATTGAGGAAAGCTCTCTTGAAGAACTACTTTTGTCATTATGTATCTTGAAAAATCCCCAACAAGAATAACTTTTTGGATGGTTACTTGATTCAAAATATTGATTTCTCTTCTCAAATACTCCACCAAAGGTTTCAATGCGTTTTGAAATACTTCATGGATTATAGTCTTGTCGATTTTAAGTTTATCTTGATTTAATTTGAAACCCTTATTCCAGGAGGGGGTGATGTGATTCTTTATGTTATAAATACAAGATGACGAAATTTTGATTGAACAAAATTGCTTTAAACTATATTCCCGTAAAGAAAAATCAAAGTTATCGTAAAGGTCACATATTGAATTGTTATCAGTCATATCACTGAATAGAGAACACCCTAATCGCGATGTCAATATGGAATCTACATCGTTGACAACTGAGGACAAACCAATAATGTTTGTTGGTACCTTTGGATACTTTTGAAAAACAAAATGTGGACATAATTGTGTTGAATCACAATTCAGTATGATAATCCCTTCTTTCGACACGCCCTTTATTTCTTCAATGTGCCGAGCGTAAGTCTGGATTGCATGACTCTGTCGAACAAATACGAGCATTTCCTTACTTATACCAGTATTAAGAAATGCATCAAGCAACACAAATCTTACATCAAACTCGGTTTTATCTGGCTGAAGAACTACCCATAAAATTTCATCATCCCGAAATATCCCGGAACACAGTTTTTCAAACAGATTTAAAAAGTGTGATTTCAGGTAAGGTACTGAATGACTTAATATAAGTGTCAACGGAACGGCATCAACACGGTTCGAAGATTTCACGAAAATTTCACCGTTTGTATCTTTATTCCACTTTGATTGACAGAAAAAATGTTGAAAAAAATATAGATCTGAGTCTTCCTTATTTTCACAGGAAGAAAGATACTGATCTTCTGCCTCAAAACCAAAACCCATAAATTCTTTTTCTGAATTCAGAAGAATGGATGTTGGTATTTGTTCATTTAATCCTCTAAGATTTTGCGATTTCCAATGGCCGTAACACATTATATTCATAGGGTCATTTTTAAAACCTGATGTAGTGGAAATCACGTATCCTGAATATATTTCTCCAATATTCACTGCTACAACTGTTCCTATTTCAGTCATTCCTGAAAGAAAATTAAAATAATTAAAATTTTCTAAATTAAATATGAATGATATTCCTTTTATCATAAACAAGTTGAAGACAATTATTGTAATATGTTGATGTCACGTTGATATGAAATCGGAGAGCTTGATATCTCTGAGGGAAACGATGGCCTTTGTGTCAATTGATATTAATAATGTGTCCAAAAATAATTCAATGCACTTGTATTTGCTACTTGATTAAATCTCAATGTTGTTTTTCAATTATAAAAATTGCCGACCTCCTTTTTACATTGTATACATATAACTGAACACTATAAATATTGGGTTTATATTTTTTCTCTCCATCTACCTCGTTCTCAGAAATTCAAATGCTATCAAATGCTGTAATTTTAAAAGTATTCCTGGTGGATGCTAAGATCAATCCAATGTACTCAGGGTCAACATAACAATAAGAAGATGTAGTATGATTGCAAATGAGACAACTCTCTACCAGAGACCGAAATGACATTGAAATTGATACAATCATACATTTGTGCAAGACTAAAATCACTGGTCAATCTGTTTTTTTGTGTACTTTAAGGGTCATATGGCAATATGAAAATAATAATTAATATTAATATTACAAGACTTCTTCGCCGTAAATGGTCCAAAAACTCCTATAAAATTTAATTGACAGTAGTTTATCCGTTCCTGAGAGTATGATAAATTATACTATGTGTGAAATATTTTGGAAAACATTGTCTGAGTTACGAGAAGTGGAGTGTTTAGTACGGACAGAAAAACTATTTTTTAAGAGGCGCACGTGACAGGAGTCAATAAAACTTATCTTTAATCTTAAAGCGGGCATTGTTGTTAGTTATTGACAATATCAATGATTACTTCATCCTGATATTGCTTGTGTAGATTTTTGGAAGCTTTTTAAGATTTGTTTTTTTTGGTGACATTTTTACATGTTGTATTTGTAGAATTTGTATTATAAATAGTCATTCTTTTTTATGGCATACACTGTTGATAAACTCATAAGCCATTCTTATTTTTCAATAAAAATGATTAGTTTTACTTTTCAAGTTATTGAGTGGTAAAAAATGACTACCTGCAAGGTTTTATTTATTTTAGAATAACTGACTGTTGACACATGTTGACATCTATAAACTCATTTATTTGATACTTGAAAATATATTTTAAGGCAGTGATTTTGGTTATTGAACGATTTTATATAACAAAAATCCAAAAAGCGATTGTCGCTGTAAGTGTTAAAGTGTAGATGACTGCCAAAAACTAAGTCCATTTATCAGTTGAATACGAAAAAATCCCAACAAAATCAGCATGATTTCTGCAGATGGTATTTTTTTTAACCACGAAGAAACTTTTGTTGAAGTTCATAACATCCATTGAAAGTATGACAATGTTATTGCAATCTGCTTGAAAATCCGATCCTGTGTCCATGCTTTGCTTACAATGATCTGAACACAATTTGTTATACTTTCTTGTCTGGTAATTATGACATCCCCAATGAAATTCCTGCTAACAAATTGTTGGAGGTTTGTACCTTAACAACAAACCAGGGGATCGCAAAGGCCTTGAAAACAGAAAGAAGAAAGGAGGTAATCAGATCCTTTAAAGTTAGGCGAAGATACAGGATCGGTATTTCTACATTTATAAGTTATTGGTGTCAGAAAAACTTTAACCATATGCTGTATCTACATGTTATTGATAACTGCAAACAAAAACTAGGTACATTTGTCAGTAAAATACGAAAAATATAAACATAAAAAGACACATATTTTAAACTTTTTACTGGACACTGTCTGTTGAAGCATCTATTTTAATTATGCATATTTTTCCAAACTTTTCACGAAGGTTTGACAAAGTTACATACTTTAGAATTAAATTACCAATGAGGTGATTACATACTAACTGTCTTTTCAATATCTATACGCAGCACGTGGGTTTAATAGAATCTATTTTCTTTACTTTTAAATACTCACAGTACTGGTTTAAAAGCATCTTTTTTTCAAATTGATTTGGCTTTTATCAAAAAGATAACAATTGATACCAGGAGAAAGGTAAATATTACACAATATTTATTTACGAATAAGATTATGTACACAAATAAAAAAAAAGAGATATCGCAACATGAGGATTTTCAGGAAAAACAGAACGGATAGTTATTTACATCCAATTTGTTTGTTTGTTTGTTTTCATCTTTTAAATCAAATCAGTCTGGAAAGTTTGACTTTTTCCTGAATATACAAAGCACAGAATCATTGACGTGAGAGTGTTTGTGGTTCAGCCCAGGTGTCAGGACTTCTGTTTTTTTGTAAAATATCATTGATATGGTCATATTTATAAATTTACTGTTTTCAAAGCTTTGAAGTGGTCGAAATACTAAGTAATTTCTTCCTAAGATTACCTCAGCTGTATTTAGTAAAACCTATCGGCAATGTTGACGCGTCAAGGCTTTTAAACATCTAACTATATTTGACCTTTTCATTTGATTCGAGAGTCACTAATGAGTCTTATGTAGACAAAAATCTTGTCTGGCGTTCAAAATTATACCTGGTATTTGTAATGAGTTTATTTGGAAAGTAGGCTAATAGTATAGGTCGTAAGATGGTTTGAAAAGCATATCGTTGATTGGATCAGGCAGTTGTAAACAATGATATTTCTCTTCCAATTAGAACTGTTTAATATGTGGTAAATTCCGGCTTTGGCTATACTTTTTTTTCCTTTTGGTTTATAGCTCTTCATCTTTTTAATAAGCTTTGGATTTTCAAATATTTTGGCCTCGAGCATCATTGAAGAGACATTGATTGTCGTATGCGCATCTGGTGCAGACAGATTGGTACCATTTATGTTATTAAACATTCAAGTTAATTGGACATAATGGAAATAATGAAAAACATATCGAAGAAACACAGTTTAAGATTATTCATTAGATACACATATGAGAGCGTTAGCCCGATGATGTGTATCTAATTTACACTAAGATATTAATGTCAATCCAGAATTATGGTTTCATTAATTTTTTTCAGCGAATTGACCATATGTTATTGGAAAGCATGATACTTGTAGGGTATCCAATTTCATTTAACGACATCTTGGTGTAAAAGATAAATGAAACTCTCTATGCATACATTGGTTGAGTATTTTATAGACATATTCTTTAAATGAGATGAAAGAATTACAGAAACATCGTTCTTGTTTTAAGTCAACATATGGCCTCATAATTGGATAGAACTCGACCTTATGCAAATAAATATCAATACATCTGTTAACTTATTTGTGGTTGAAAAATCTCTATACAAAGTCTGAAACTGTTTGAAAATTGAGTTGATATCAAAAACCCTACAAAACAGGCCAACATTCATCTTCTATTTCTTATTTGAATGTTCCAAAATCAATCAAAGTCTTATACATGCACTTGCATAAGGCCATCTTCTATCCGACGCAGTTCACGTCATACAATGTTCTATCCTTAATAATTGTAATGCAGAGTGAAAATAAGAAAATTTGAATAGAAAGGAATCATGTTGATAGACATTTGAAACTCTATTTGTGATTCTTTAGAAGAAAAAAAAAATCAAAACAATAAGGCCACCATTTTAATTCCAGTGATACAAAACTATTTTGATCCATTTTACAATCTACTTTATATTTTTACCTTTGTCTATGATAACAGTCACCTTGATTGTCAAAATAATGTAAAACTAAGTACAATTAACTAAAACATAATTAGAACAAACTAGTAAAAATAGACTTACCGACAACAAACTATTTTTTATAGAATGTGTGCTCCCTTTACACACTGACTGAAGGTAACTACAAAATACACGTGACAAAATTGTAAACAGGCAGATATTTAATTACCAAAAAAATGAAGTGGGTGATCTTCAAATGTTTTTGAAAAAAATCTATTAAAATTTTATTGAATAGAATATCGTTAATTGAAACCCATGGATTGTTTAGAACACATTTTTACATGTAGCGTAAATATCGTATTTTAGAACTATGAAGACAACAACTACAACACACGGGGATATATAACAAATAATACCCTGTTTAGAATTTTCGTTTCCTCCATACAAAAACACAGAAACTACACACACAGTCTATTGAGGTACATTCAAAATATATTCAAAATTGTATGCATTATAACCATCATCACATACTTTAAACTAGTTTGTAAATCTTTTATTACTGAACCTTTGCTGCATTTTCCTTAAAATGAATATAAAATTCTAAGAGATTCTTTAAGCATTATTTTCACCCGTATTTTCATTGTTTTATTCTCGATTCATCTTATAACTTTCAAAGATTTGTCCATTACATTCCTCATTTATTTTTAATCATATAAACTTTCCTTAGATGGATACCCGAAAGATCAGTATAGATTCCGGAAAATAAATACGTCTATCGTTCTACCAAGAAAGTCACATGAAATATCGAATAAACCATGAACTAGAATAGCCTTATTACGTAGGAAATGTATATTCATGTTTGAGAATCTATATTCCATACCTTATAAGGGACTATCACAACTATGATGGTCTTTTATACCATCCATGATTGCTAAAATAGCGAAAATAGGTACAAGTTACCAAAACATAATAACGAAATAGCAAGGAATAGACTTATCGACAACAAGCTATTTTTTTAAAGTTGGTGTTCTCCCTTTACATACTGACTACAAGGGGACGACTCAATACCCGTCACGGAGATTACCATATGAATAAACGTTTCACACAGATTAATGTCTCGCGTTTTGTAATATTGATGGTATAATGTAAATGTTAAAAATAGAATTGCAATATTTAAACATGTATACTATGCAAATAATCTGCAAAGTCAATGAACCATAACTGAAGGTGACGGGCCAAATAACCTCCATGGAAACGAGAAATGCCAGTTCTTATGAAACTGAATACCAAATACCATTGTCTTATCATCAGTGGTTTCATCTAAACTAAGATAAACACAAACTTGAACTTGTAAACTGTGTAAAAATTTCCAAGTCAGTGAACCATGACAAAGGGGTTAGGGCTATATAATCTCCATGATATAGAGACTTGCTAATGCTGATACCAATCATTGACTCACCATTAGTAACTCATATTAAACTAGTCTAATCACAAACTAAAACATGTAAATAAACAAAATTTTCAAAGTCAATAAACCATGACTGAGGGGACAGGAACAGAATAATCTCCATGGAGATGAGAAAGTGCCAATGCTTTTACAACGACACACCTTTTATCATTGACAAATAACTAACGGTTCCCAATAAACTAAATTTATCACAAACTTTAACATGTAAAGAAAGAAAAAGTTACGAAGTCAAAAAGTTAGGACTGAGGGGATGGGGACAAATTGAAATGCGATGGGCCACTGCGAGTACAACTGTATATCAAATAGCATTGACCTACCACTTGTCGGTTCCCATTCACTGACCTTATCACAAACTAATACATTGTTGAAGCCGATACCGGCGCTGACACCGCCACCGGAAACAGGACGCCTAAGTCTCGCTTTATCGACTGTCGACACGAGACAATAAACTGAGTAATTTCAAAATGTTTTTGAAAATTTCTATTGAAGTTTATTGAATAGAATACCGTAAATTGAAACCTTTGGGAGGTTAAGAACACTTTTTTACCTGTAGATTAGATTTATGAATTATGTATTAGACTTTTGAAATATATGCCAAACAAATACACTGAAACTACGCACCAAGTCGATTGAAATACTTTCATAATATATTCGAACATATTTTCGAATATGCATTTTGACAATCATCGCATTCTTTTAACTAGTTTATAAATTGTTGACCAAATTTGTGCGGCTCTTTGCTATCAAATGAATAAAAAAGATTAATAGCTTCTATAAAATCATATCTCAATGTGCACAGATGTGTCCAGTAGATTATCCTTTATTTGTATTTATAGACTAAACTGGGCAAGCTGAGAAAGGGTAACCTAGTTTGCGGAAAATGAATATTGCTATTCTACCCTTAGAAACAATATTACAGAGCTGGTGTTTCCTATTATGATTTCTTTGATAGAGGGTTGTCGCTTAACCAGACAGCAAATAAACATGTTGAACGAAGGGGGCCAAGTGCATGAAAGCATCCATTCGAAAGTTTTACCGACGAATTGAAGAGTCGGTTGACCATTAGTAATTATTTGTGTTACAGATGACCACGGGTATGTTCTTTTTTCCGTAGTTTTTTGTTTTTGCCATTGCGTTGCCAGTTTTCCTTCGACTAACGAGATTTAAATGTTCCTGTTGTATCCTCTGCCTTTTTTGTTAGATTGTCGTTTCTAATAGTCGATTGAAATGATTTGATTGACAAAATATGGGGAATGAAATAATTATTTTGGCCTCTATTAGTGTTAAGTTTGCAGTCATAGTAAAGGAGAGTTAACACAGAACTTCCAAAGACTACATATGTATAAGAACGTTTTACTTTATATCACAGGAATTAAGCAATCAACAGAGACAAGAACATTTTCATATCCTAGTATTTGTTTAAATAAGATACGACAATAACAATGATTCGATTCTGTCCTTTTTAAAATTTTGAGTCATATCGTACCGTCAATGTTAACTCCATCTCCTTGTGATAAGTCATCTCAATTCACCGTCTAGGAGTTTAATGCATTCTAGAAATGTTTTTAAAAGTGAATATTAATATATTATGATCGTCTAACAATGTGAAAAACAATATCTTAATCAACGGTGTGATGCTATTTTTATCTAGGAGTTCAAACAATAGAAATAACCCATTGATGCTGAAACGGCGATTTTTTTTCTTTATGGTAGATCATGTTTTCTATATGGCTAAATTGTACTTTTTATTCAGACCTTTTTCAGGATCGTTACAAGGTAAAATAACTGCTGTCAAGCTGCACATTCACATAAGTTTATCTAGAATATTGCATTCACCAATGGAAGGATTGATTGTTATTTGATTAAATTCCAGTGGCAAACACTTCATGCATATTCAAAAAAGCCAGATGTGGTCTGCAAAGATGAACAGCCGAAATGGATAACAAAAGAGTTCGAACACCACTGTTCAAAAATAATATCTTGGAAAGGAGCAGAAAATTTGTCTTGCAACAGGCCATCATCGAAACCCTGTTACAAAATTTTTTAACATGAAGCCGAGAGCTTGTCAGCTGTGCTATAAATTGCATTTGGTTGACGTTTGCGTTCCGAGTAAATGTAGCGCATATGCTTACATCCCGCACAACCAAACTGACACTTTCTCTTCTTAAGGATGGAGACCCTTACCTGGTTGACGCAACCGGTTACGGTCTTTTCGGAGTTCATGGGATCCCTCAGTTTTTGGGTTTTTGTGTTTACCTTGATATGTTTTTTAACGGTTTTATGAGATTTTATTACCTACTGTTGCCTGTAAAATTTGAATCCTGGTATCTAAAATGAGTGTACTTCGGGCAAGTATTTTTGTACAGGTTTCCAGAATGCTACACTTCAGTCAGTCAAGTGATATGCTTTCTGTGTCATATATTTCATGTCAATCACAGTCAATATGATTCTGTAAACCATATGAACACTAGTCGACTCTTTCTATTAGTAAGGGTATTCGTATGAACGATTATACATGTACATATATTATGTTATCAAAGCTAAGCTGAACTGACTTTACAACTGTTTTGGTTCTTTGAAAGAAAGTTAATATATTGTTACTTTGTGGCTATACATAAAACATGTGTATCCAATTTGAAACTCAGTAGACGTATAACTGTTATACTGACCTCTGCACATGCTATATTCATTGTATTATACAAGGAAAAACGTTTCACTTTCAAACAGAACTATTCAATGTTTGGTGGATTATTAAAACATGTATTTACTATAATTTCACGAGAAAGCGTTTTGACAAATAATGATAATAAACACAAATAACAATAAACCATGCAATTAAAGTTATCAATCATGTAGTATCATCATTGTTTTCTAAATATAACACAGAACAGAGGAACAGCGGGCTATATAGGCATTGTATGCAAAATTAAGTTATGATGTTGCTAAGTAAACATATTCTTACCGAAAAAGTCTCAATCAATTTACATACTAGCTTTATCTACTGCCTGTATATGTCACAGGGACATGTTATTACTCATTATATGAACGAAGCTTGATCAAATACATCAAAGAAGAAAAACAATTACATTGAATGATATTGAGCAAAAATACATTTTTCGAATTTAGTCTGTATTACTAGTACTCTTAATATTTGCAAGAACGTGAATCGGACTGCCGTACAAATTAAAATAATCCAAGTTAATTCAAATGATCGTAAACATATACATGAGCCACTCCATACGGAAAAGTACAAAAAAGTTTTAACTTTATTGTAAAAGTTCGATAAAATATTTTTTAAACGATTTTATCCGTAAAAATTAGTATATCTGTAAACAGTCATACAATGGTAAATTATCTCTAGAATTCATATCTGATTTGTTTTATTTAAGCAAGCGTAAAATGGTTGAGGCAAGTGTAAAATCGTTAGTTGAATGAAACAATGTTTTACTGATCCCAAACAAAACTATTTACAATTTGCATCATCTCTACTTATGCGTAAAGAAATGAAAATACAATAGTTAAAGGTAAAGTGAAATGTAAAAATGAACTCATCTTCTGTTTCTGAAATTAAAGTTAAGTTAAGTAGCCGTAAGCAATAAATCAACGGTACTTTGACGGGATTGGAACCATCCCCCCCCCCCCCCCCCCCCCATTAAATTGCACGGATTTCGGCTTTGTACGCGAGAGCAAGTTAATATACTTAAGACAGTGGAGCAGAATCTGTTTAC